GAAGAGAAAAGGAATTTCGCGTGCCGCGTTTCGTACATCTCGGCGAGCGCTACAAATTACGCGGAGAGACGTTTTTTCGTTTACGGTACCCGTTTCGAATAAACGAACCTCGAACGTCGTCAAGAATGACTTTTTTGCGTATAAAGCGCGCTGCTTCGCCGTATATCAGCTATCTCCTCCGAAGATAAAGGAGCTACGAACCTGACGATTTTTGCGTGAGAAAGCCATGCTTCGGACACTCTTTTAATACTATTTTCATCATTATTATTCGTTTACGTTGAAAAGTTTCGATTTTTTAAAAATTCCTCGACAATACGCTACTTTTCGACGCGTGAAAAAGTCACCTTGTCATCCGGCTCTGTCCTCGCTTATTACTACCGTACGTGAGCGAGTAAAAATTATACAGCTATCGAAAAATAACGATAATGAGCTGACGAAACGATTCTGACCGTCAGAATTACCGTCAAATTTCGAAAAAGTAAACTTTGAGCGCCTCAAAAGTACCGATGACAACCGTTTTTCGGCGTACTTTGTCTTCGTCGATACGGACCTGCGTTACGGAGCGACGTAGCTACGATTTTTTTTCGCAAAACGACAGACCAAAGTCTCCTGATTAAACCGACATACGACACGTTACCCGATCGCATTTTTTAAACTCGGCAGATTAGAAAATTCAAAGATATGCACACATTTTTAGTTTGAAGTTTCAATTTTGAATTTCCCCTCCAGATCCCCGGATTCCTGTTAGGCGGGGTATTGTAGATACGATCGTATTACGAAAGCGAGCGAGTGCGAGCGGAACGTCAAAAACGTGCCATTTTCGGCTTCATGACTATCGCTTCATCCAATATTGGATCACGCCAAATAGATTTGTCCTTTTTTACGCGTGAAAATCAACATTTTCGAAAAGATTCAAAATTTTTTATTCCATTGTCTAAACGGACCGGACTAGAGCCATTAAAATCGGATGAATCTAGTAGTTTTTTTATGTTTACAGATTGCGATGTCTACCGCCAAAGGCTGCAATTATTCTTTGACGTTCATCAGTTTATTGAAATCATCATCGGTTTATAAATACGATAAAAATATGATTGTAAGCCCCTATTCATGTTATAATTTTACAATATGGCATAAAGCTCCGCTTTTCCAACCGATTGATATACAGCGTATGTCCGATTGCATCACCTCCGATTTCTAACCTACAACGTATATGAATGTAAACATTATCGAAATCTTAATAATGAGGCTCCCGTTAATAAGGATTAATTAGAAGCTTAGAACAAGCAATTGCAACTACAAATAGTGAGTGTTGTGAAGTGTTTAGTGTCCGTGCAGAAGTAGATATTTCTATGGCAAACGTAAGTTTGAATTTATCACTTGTTGATTTAACTTGAGTTAGGGTCTCTGTTCTCTAAACTAAATTAAACAATCATTCAAAATATGTAATAGTAGTGTCGAAGTACCCAACTACAAATTTGTCAGAATTAGAAGGTCTTCTTAAATTCTTAAACAACAGTTTCCTATTTCTAACCTACAACGTATATGAATGTAAACATTAGCGAAATCTTAATAATGAGGCTCCCGTTAATAAGGATTATTAATTAGAAGCTTAGAACAAGCAATCACAACTACAAATAGTGAAAGTGTTGTGAAATGTTTACAGTGTCCGTGCAGGAGTAGATATTTCTATGGCAAACGTAAGTTTGAATTTATCACTTGTTGATTTAACTCGAGTTAGGGTCTCTGTTCTCTTAACTAAACTAAACAATCATTCAAAATATGTAATAGTAGTGTCGAAGTACCCAACTACAAATTTGTCAGAATTAGAAGGTCTTCTTAAATTCTTAAACAACAGTTTTTAACTATATTTGAGAGTCATCATACAGATTTTTGTAGAAACGATGGATACATTACATGAAATGAAGAAACTCACAGTGTTATTGAATTGCTTTGTGACTACTAAAGCTTATTTTTGCCAAAACAACAGACACTATTACTTGTCAAAAAAGAATGACCACAGGAGTGCTTGAACTGTTCAAAAAAGACATGAATGCCTGGTCGACTAATGCTGATGAAGTTTAGAAGCATACGCAAAGACCTAAATTGTAATTTTCAGTACCTAATTTGCTAGCATAGCTTCATCAGCTTTTTTCGTTTCTCTGTTCGCATAAGGACTAGGTTTTGAGTTGTAAATGATCTAAATACGAAACACACATACAGAATTAGAAGGTCTTCTTAAATTCTTAAACAACAGTTTTTAACTATATTTGAGAATCATCATACAGATTTTTGTAAAACGATGGATACATTACATGAAATGAAGAAACTCACAGTGTTATTTAATTGCTTTGTGACTACTAAAGCTTATTTTTGCCAAAACAACAGACACTATTACTTGTCAAAAAAGAATGACCACAGGAGTGCTTGAACTGTTCAAAAAAGACATGAATGCCTGGTCGACTAATGCTGATGAAGTTTAGAAGCATACGCAAAGACCTAAATTGTAATTTTCAGTACCTAATTTGCTAGCATAGCTTCATCAGCTTTTTTCGTTTCTCTGTTCGCATAGGGACTAGGTTTGAGTTGTAAATGATCTAAATATAAACACACATACAGAATTAGAAGGTCTTATTAAATTCTCAAACAACAGTTTGTAACTATATTTGAGAGGCATCATACAGATTTTTGTAGAAATGATGGATTCATTACATGAAATGAAGAAACTCACAGTGTTATTCAATTGGTTTGTGACTAGCAAAGCTTATTTTTACATGATATTTTATTGATTTGACAGTTGTGAATCTTCAATTAGCGAAAGTTCAACAGATCAAGTTACTCAGCCATTCAAGGGGATGTGCCATCAAGATAACATTCCTGATGTAAAGAGGTAAATGATCATTCTCATATCAAAGCAAATAAATATATTCAACTGAAGCTTGCAGAATTATGCAGAACTAGATACTTTATAGTAATATAATACTTGCTTTTTGTTTCAGGCTGAAATTTGATGACCTACCCAACATTTCTGGCTTGTCTACCAGTAAGTATTTTTTTTGAATATTAAATTACATGAAATATTTTATATAATTTAATATAATATAATTATATTATGATATTTTATTTTTATAGGTCAGCAACAGGAAAAAAGCATCAGTTTCCAATCTTGATCAAAGCTTTGGATCTTCTTCATCAACAATTAGCGTCTCAGAAACTGAGAACCAACCAGAGCCTGATGCTGGGTTCAAGGATGTTTCTCTTGCAACTGCACGTAAAAATAGGTGAGAAATATTGAGAAAATAGATGATCTAATAAGATTTTAATGACATATGCTTCACATATATGATGAATTCCAATCATATCTCATTGTTTCAGAAAAAGAAGGTATGTGGGTGACTTATCTTCATCAGACTTTTCTACACCAGAGAAGGCGAAGAAGAATTTTCATTTGATGAAGAATACTATAACTGCTCTGAGAAAGAAGAGTCATAATCTTCAGGCTAGCAATACATACTTTAAGAAAAAAATCAAGACATTAGGAGGCTTGATGAAGCTGCTTAAAGAAAAATCATATATAACTAATTCGTCAGGGACTGTTCTTGAGGTAAAAATCTCTAAATTAGATAATATAGAATAACGGACAGAAGTAAAATTATTTCAATTTTTTTCTTTGGTATCAATCATACTGATTTTTGGATAGTAGTAAAGACTCAGTTTAGGGTTCATGTTTTAATTGAATGTGTAATAAATTTACTTGTTTCATCAATTCCTGTTTAATTTAACTAGTTAAATGTATGTAAATGACTGGAGAAGGTAGTCAAAATCAACCTTTTAAGATGAATGTGGTGATTTAACTCTAAAATAATGAGCAGCAGTGCTATTACACCTTACACCCATCTTTTTGTTTTTTCAGGCCTCTTTATCAACCTCAGGACAAAAAATATTCGAGAGGATGTTGAAAGGCCCATCTTCACAAAAATGACCCATCTATTAGATGTTTTGCTTTGACGCTATCTTTTTACTCCCCAAAAGCATACCAGTTCGTAAGGAATACTTTTAATAAATCTTTACCTCATCCATCCACGATTTCTAAATGGTATCAGTCAATTGATGGCTCTCCTGGTTTTACTTCAGAAGCACTAAATGCTTTGAAGTAAAAAAGTTAGCGTCAAAAAACCAGAACATCCTGTGCAACCTGGTCTTACATGAAATGTCTATCAGGGAGCAGGTCGAATGGACTGGGACAAAATTCACTGGTTATATTGATATTGGAACTAAATTTGATTCAGATGTTCTACCTCATGTCAAAGAAGTTTTAGTATGTATGGTTGTTTGTATAAATGCTTCATGGAAGTTACCTGTGGATTATTTTTTTTTTTGGACGGCCTCACTGGTGTTGAGAAAGCAGAGTAGTTAAGAAATGTCTCACATTTGTACATGAGTCATGAGTCATAGTTACCTCTATAACTTTTGATGGTGCTCCTGTAAATTTTACGATGTCATCATGTTTAGGTGCAGATTTCAAGGACATTAACAACCTTAAAACACATTTTGCTCATCCAGTAACAGGTAATAAGGTTTTCATATTTTTGGACCCTTCGCACATGATGAAATTGGTCAGAAATACATTTGGCTCACAAAAATATTTGATAGACAATGATAATAATACCATAGACTGGACTTTTTTGGAAAAGCTCGTAGAAATTCAAAATTTTGAGGGACTACATTTAGGCACAAAAATCAGAAACCGACATTTACAGTGGACTCTAGAAAAAATAAAAGTGAAAATTGCCACTCAGACATTAAGCAAGAGTGTGGCTGATGCATTGATGTATTTGAGTCTAGATTTGAAAATACCATCATTTAGGAATGCGAAACCTACAGCCGATTTTATCCTGAAATTTAACAATCTATTCGACATTTGTAATTCCAGAAATAGATTGGCTAAATACATATTTAAGCGACCATTATCACAGGCCACTGCAAAAACTTTTTTTAGTTATATGGATGAAATGTGCCAATACATTAGCAATTTGAAGTTGGCTGATGTTCCAGTAACTCAGTCCCCTAAAAAAACAGGTTTTCTAGGATTTCTGATAAGCGTCACTACTTTGAGGCAATATTATTCAAAATTTGTTGAAAAATCAGAATTAGAAGGCAAAGAGGTAGACTCGGAACAATTAAAGTATATTTTAACTAACAAATTTTCTCAAGATCATCTAGAGCATTTTTTCGGAGCTATAAGAGCTAAGGGTGGATTTAATAATTACCCTTCAGCCAGACATTTTGAAGCGGCTTATAAGCGCCTCCTTATACATACAGAGGTCACAGGACCAGAATCTGGTAATGTGTCCATCAAAGATCTCACCATTCTGACTTGTGGGAGTGGACATCAGGTTACAATGGATGATAGTGGCAATGATTTGAAAGTAGTGAAACCTATTTGGATTTTGAAAAAAAAATTATGAATGATATTGCTACTTATAAGTTTTATTCATCACAAGCCTGGAATTTAACAGATTATGTTGAAGATGTAGTTGGCTATATTTCAGGCTATGTGGTGAGAAGTTTTCTGAAATGCATAACTTGCAGTCAATGTACTAAGGTACTCGAAGGTGATAATGTCAAATATTTACAAAAAAGAAAAAAATAGAGCATTAACTACTCCCTCAGACATAATACTCCAAATTTGTGTAGCTGCCGAAAAGTATTTCAGATTTTTTCATAAACCTAGAGACATATTTAATAAACATGTGCCAAATCTTCCTGCTATTTTGATTAAAAACACAATGGAAACTATATAGTACCTACAAAAATTTTAGATAAG